AATAATAAGAAGACGTAGGCAAACATCATCATGATGATATTGTATAGAAGGATGTCAGACGCATCGACTTGGCTCTGCGTGACTGCAGGAATGAGCAAAGCGAATCGTGAAGCTAGTCCCTTACTGTTGCCGTCTGTCTCGTTTGAAGTGGATTTTCAATTTAATCATTTACAACTGAAATTTCCGCCAGTGAATCCCCACTATGCTCTTCGAAAAACTAAAAATGCACCCGCGGCACGTACTTTTTATTTACAGTGCTATTCAGTTGTTTTCTGTTCCCACTTCGTAGAACACACCTTTGCTGAGTTACTCATCCTCTCCAGCTACCGGTTTTGACTGGCTACATCAAACTTTTGTTACAACTTGTACCCAATTAGTTCCCACATTTCGAACAGCAACGGAAAAACAAACCAATCAGTGGGTCACTGACCACTTTGTCCCTTTTTTATGGTTGAACTCCGAACCCTTTTGCTATATTTGTGTTCACTTACGTTTAGGTACAGACAAGTAACTTGTCATAGTGGACAAACTGTGGTCATTCAAGATTCAGGGAACGCCATAACCCAGTATGCAGCGATTTATACAAGTAGTTCACGTTTGACCAAAATAAGAGGTGACCTTCAATTTGTGCAGTGAAAGATGAGAAGCCATTTTAACGAACATTGCTTTTCCTTTGAGTGCTTCATAAATGATTCATCCATTCGTTCGCAACTTAGAACAATTTGCGATTGAGTTGAACATCAGCAGATGTACAACATATATTGAGCGCCTCCGGCTGACGCCAGATTACGGCATAGACTGTACATCGTTTGCACTTCGAGCCGTATAAAAAAGCACAAGTAACCGAGGAAAGTGAACTAGTCAGGTAACAATGAGAGCAAACCTGCCACTCAAAGAGAAACCTCGGAGGTTTGCCTAATAATAATAATAATAATAATAATAATAATAATAATAATAATAAACCGGCTACTTGTAAATGCGAAAGCGATTAAAGAGAATCCCGACGTTGAGCTTAAAACCTAGTGGAATTCAGGCAAATTCCTGCGAATTAGTCATGAGCTGGCACCAGCCCGACGCTGAGTCGCAGTCGGCTGTTGGTCTTAGTTTAAGCATTTGTCATAATGCACTTTATTCGAGCAGGATTTCACCAGCCAGTTTGTTGAACCGGTCACGCAGTTGGCCGTAGCGCCCACGGACAGTACGTGGTCACATGCCCTAGTCATTGGCTTCCGCCTAGCAGATGTGCTAATGCATAACGTCGATATAGACTGCTGTTTCTGGACCGCAGCGATTCGTGACATCATTTTGACTGACTGATCCTCAGCACCAGGGATAGTTGCAATAGAACACAGGTGAATAACTATACCCGTCACTTTGTTTGTAAGCGCTGATTCGCATATCAGGTCGATTACATTCGCGAACATTCGTACGAACATACGCCACAGTTTCACGAAGTATTCTGCCTTGTTTACAATGTTGCTAAATTCGTCCGTTTGCCCTTAGAGCTTATGCATCCTGTACCTCTTTGATACGCTGACTCAACTGTATCATGCTATTGTAGTCTTTTAATAAACAAAACTCTATAGTGCTTTTTACAATTCATGTCCCACAACCAGTCAGTTTCCTAATAAAACTGATTATGTTGCAATCTAAATGCAACCTAAATGCGGTTACCAAAGATCCTGCTTTTACTATGGAACAAATAGAATTTCTCCAAAGCTTACAGTAGATTCTTTCGCAAATACACATCAGCAATTTCATGAGTAACTAACATCACCGGTGTGTTTTTGGGTTTAAAGGTTACAACCTGTGTATAGGTAGCTTAGTCCGAGTGGATGCAACATTCGGTTATCCAATACTTAGCTGGTTCTGCATTTCTATCTGAACTACTGGTCAAGTAATGCCCGGTCGACGGGAGAGGCCTTATTAGAAAGGAACTATTTGGCCTTTCACAGGACTCGCCTTTCTTTACGATAGATTTCCCCATTAATTGTGGCTGACAAGATGCGCCAGTGTGGCCTCTCCCGAAAAGTGGTTCATCTACTGGAAGAACCAAATTATCTTCTTAAGTGCCTCCAAGTTTAGAAGGCCCATAAATTCCAGCACTTACTGAACTTTCACAGCCATGGAAGTCGATTTCCGGGCTATTCACGCATCTACGGAATTGACATTGTGGAATCCATGCAAGTGATGTGCCAATCGAGCTGGTTTTAGCTGGTGATTCAGGTGGGAAAGCTCTATCACTAGGTCTGACGGTTGAACATGAACCCGATAGGCGGGAGATCACGAAGTCAGTTTTAGTTCAAACTAATCATCCAGAATTCAGCCCGCCTCCCTTTCTATTGAAGATAGAAGGTAATGAACAAACGAAATTACGTTCTGGGGCTGTGAACATATAGACAGGTTGAAAGAGGTGGCGTGTAGATCACAAACTTCGGAACGACCAGTCAAAAACTGATTCAGATTACCCCGACGAAGCATTTTGGAAACCATGTGGTATGCACCACCGCAGTAAAACAGATTCCATGAACAGAAAACTGTGAATAGGCCTATCCACATGTCCCTACTTTACAACGCTTCTGAAGGATTGTGCACACAGAACATATTCCGATAAAAGTTAGCAACAAAACTGACGTGTTTCTCCCTCAATTTGCAAAATAAAGAGTATATCCCTGTGCCTGAGTTTGGTTGATGTTAGAACGGGAAGGCGGAAGTTAGAATTAGCAAATCAACTAGCCTCTGTTGCTCATAGTCGATGGTCTGATGGTCAACCTTCAGCTGATCACTAACGCAATCCAAGGATGTTAGAACGGGAAGGCGGAAGTTAGAAGTAGCAAATCAACTAGCCTCTGTTTCTCATAGTCGATGTATTTTTGAACCATTCTGATGGTCAGCCTTCAGCTTACCTTACATGATCACTGCTCGTTGGAGTTTGTGGTGAAATAGTTTTGAACGAAGCTCGATCACCAACGCAATCCAAACAAGTAGCTTCAGAGTAAGGCTCCACTATGCTTTTGAGCCGAAGACACGCATAAAAAGCTTACCTACTAGCAAAATCCGAGTTGATAGTAAACGCTGAGATGGTCTTGGTTATTATCGTAAATGTCTGGGCATCTACGCGGCTGTCTCAATGATGGGTGAATACACGCACTCATCCTTAGGATGAAATACATTCAGGGCCTTCTAATCTTTTGACGGATTTCAAAATTTGTCACGTTCCTTTACTTTTTCAAGTGTACTGAGACCTCAGAAGGAAACTGGTGAAATGATTGTCTGAAATCATGCCAAATCTCTATAGATGAATTTTCTGTTGCAGAATTTTCTGATTCGTGGTCTGCATAACGGGTCGCGAATGCAATCAACATTGCAAAAGGACAACCATAAGAAAGCAGATTTTCAGTTTCTCATGGAAAACACCCGATTACGTCATCTGAAACCAGTGTTGACTTATCAGTCAACAAGACCCCTACAAAACTCCTCAAAATTCAACAAAGTGAACTCAAACGATAACAAGTTATTGGGAAAACAAGTGGTCCTTTTTTGACGTCTGTATAGGGGTTTTTATCTACTACCTAATCATTAGGCGGGGAAGATAATTAATTCGGAAGCCCCTTGGTCGTCAGTCAGTATGCGTTTCACCTTTTGGCAGTCACAGCAGTGGTTTGACCGCATGAACGTAATTGGCCGAAAGCCATTGCGTCATACCAACTCAGCTGTTGAAACGCACAAGAATGTATGCAAATGCGTGGTCAACTACTCGAAGATGAAACAGTCGACAAGCTTCCGTATCCTACAAACTCACAGTTGAATTAATATGGATTCGTAAACTCCAGAAAAAACAACACGCCTTGGTGTACGTGTATATATGTTGCGCTGAGTCGACCTCCGTTATATCCCAAGTCATGCATACTCAGCACAATCACTAATAAAACTTGTGGAATGGGTAATCCAGTTATCAAGCTACTAACTTCCAACCGTGGCCCCGGCCTCCATTCGTACTTTCCACCCAATCGAAGAACAAACGAGTGACCACTGGATGGCATCAGTTTGTCGAACTAGGCAATTTTTTGTCATTACCAGGTTCAAACACCCCGTTTCCTTTACAACTGGCTTTCATCGGTTCAGCCACTAAAGCACCAATCAACAGGGATGGTGATATTCGTCAACTTCATGTACTGTACAAAGGCCGCCTCATGTTTCATCTGGTACGACAGTCGGGATATCAAAAGAGAGATTCAGTCGGGATTCAGCTGAGAAGCTCGTTAGAACCAAGGTGGCAGGCAAATGAGTGTAGTTTGCGAATTGCGTACAACTTGTGTCCAAAGAGAACGTAAGGCTGATAGAAACTCTGGAACTGCGCCCAAATGATGAGCCTAAAGAGGAGTGGAACCGGTCGTGGATTGTTAGTGAGTTTCCAGCACTCCTGTGAGCAGTTTCCTTTATGAAAATTTGCTGCGATATCTCGGATGTCGTTTCAACTATAACATGACGCGACCACTGTGCAGCCCCTTTAGTTGAAAAATATCGTGAACGAGTGATCAGGTAGTTTTGTTGTGAAGTGTATATGCATGTGGAAGACGTCTGATAAAGAATATCTTCATTAAAATAGACTATAAAGTAAATCAATCTTGCATCTGAACAATGTGCAAACGGAAGAATTGTCGAAATCGGGATGAAAGAACGAAAAGCAATTAAAGCTGCTTGGCCTTAGTGGGTTTAAACTAAATAGGACGAATGCCACGCCATTAGAAAATATCCCTTCTCAAAGCTAGTGTTTTTTACAGTTTGGTGAGGCTTTCACTAACCAGCAGTTCAGCTCACTCTTTAGGCTGTAAGTAAGGAACCAAATAGAATTCCGTTCTAGCTGCCACGGTTTCATTAACTGAGGCGGACAATCAAGTATCAACCGTAAACCAAGGCATGTGCTCATGCCCAGAACATCGTGTACAATTCATTGGCTCATGGAAAGAGATTTTGACAGTGATGGCAAGGCGTTTACACTATGAACTGAAAGTGCATGAGCTCGATTTACCCCGTTTGACAGGATCCACGCCAACCATTGCTGTGACCGGAGACAAAATATTGATTGCACATGAGATTTTCTCAATTGCCCCGCGAAGTTTTACTATCTCCGGATCTTCGGGAGATTTATTGCTCATTCTTTCAGCCTTGTATCGGTCACCGAGTTCATTCAGTTGACATTTTCCAGCCAAACGATGCAAAGGGACTTCCTCAGAGGAGAATTCTGCTTCCTTTGCGACTTTAGACAGTTCCACTTTAAACAGTTGTTTTTCTCCAAGAACATTGCATTGAAGACTTACTGTTCCGGACAGCCCCACGGAACTTCCTATGAAAGATAAAGGTAAGAAGGAACGGATGAAACCAAAATGGTCAATGTGGTTAAGAAATAGGTAGCGCTTATTAATTCATGCATACCTCTCACAAAACCGTCCGCAGTTCACCTATGAATCTAACAGAAATGCTCACTTGTTTACAACACGGAGCACTGAACAGAATTCACTGTTTTCTCGATCAAACTAGTTATACCCATCATACCGACCATGCACAGTTTTAAAGCAATAAAGCATAACAAACCTCATAATCAGGAGAGAATAAAGAATTCGCGGTCTTCCGGAATGGTACCTTGGTTCAAGAGATGAAAAAGATGAGATCGGATCACATACGAAGCGGCGGACGACCTGCATTACACAACTAGCAAGAGCTAAACCGAAGAGACCATTGTTACGTCATAACAAATGACTACTTGGTCTTCTAATTTCACGGACATACAGTTGTCATACTATTTAATAACATAAGCCAACCTAAGCCACCGAGATGGTATCATCGGTGAGTTGCAGCAATGCTTTACGCTGCGTGAGGGCCTTGTGCAATAATTTGTCCATTTTCATGTACATCTCATTGGTCGGGAAGATATCGAGTCATCTGAATGATCGTCTCTGATTCATAGACGTTCGGATAATCTTTTACCTTGAACCCAGCGGTTCGTACACGATGATATTTGTGCTATCGGTTTCCTGGTTGCCGTGTTTACCGGCTGGTCCATTGGTCCCCTTTGAGTTATCCGATTAAATGGTGGTTATGCTTGCTCGCAGTGACGTGTAGACTGAGTCGAACTTCGTCGTTTTCATCGCGGTCTATGCAGTTAATTCAGTACACCACATTGTGTCCTGCACTCTCAAAGTAGCTGTCCTTCGATCCTGAAATCAGTCATTCCCTACGTGAAAGTTGGTTTGTGGACTTTTTTTGTGAGTTCAGATATCTTTCTGATGTTTGTTTTCTCGACCGCGTCATCGTCGCTGTTGCTGCTGTTTTCTGGGGGGTTATTATTTAAGCTGCTTCTGACGGAATTTCGTGAGTAGCCATCGTTGGGAAAAAGTCTATACAAGTGCGTTTTTTCTCTTGCTCATTTTCACTGTACCACAGTGGGTTTTCGCTACCCTGAACACAGCTTCGAGTTATCCCTTAATGTAATTTGTTGCATTGTTGCTTTGGTAGTATAGTATCTGGTCTGTGTCTTCTTCCAACGAACATAGGTTCGAACAACGTGCTTCCCAGGACATACACCCCTCCACACCGTGCTGCATCACCTTGAGTATACATTTAAGTTATATGCTATCACATGACGACAAACGTAGTTTGTTTGCATCCCTCACTTTCCGACTTGTTCTGTGCACCAAATGGCATGCTACCATATGTACCCGCAGAATTCGGTTTTGCGCATGCAGCGGCCTTCAGAGGGGTTAACAATGACGACACGAATGACATTGAATTTTCGTTTTCTAACTCCTGTAAGTCTCAAAATTGCTGTCTTGTCTAAAAGGTTTCCATCAAAATGAGGGTAAACAATGGAATATACCCTGTTTTCGTTTCCCACTGTCTGAGACCGAACCTTGCAGCCCAAAAATGCACTGTGATTAACGAGGCTAAGTTGGTTCTTGTCAAAAGTTGCACATATCCCCGGAAGAAGGCACACAAGCTTACGCCATTCGGCTAGTCCCATCAGACCAGTGCAGCTGAATTGTTTGAGCTATTCTTTCATCAGTTTTGAGAAATCACGGCACTTGATAGTTAGCCATAAGTATCAAAATGTTTGGAAGTGGTACAATCCAGGTCTATTGGAATTTATTACGTACCGGCCGGAATAAGTCCGTATACGGTGATGAACTTTCCGTGGAATACTGCTGGGATGCACTCAGGAATCGTAAGCACTTGCAGAGGGGTTACAGCGCTTCCGTTGTTCTTGCTTCTCAGCTCCCACTGAACTTTGATATCACCTGCGCGGGGTTGAAGAGCAGCTCCAAGAATTTTCATGAGTACACCACGGAGTTTAGAACTGTGAGAAGTGGAAGAGATTGGATGATTCTGAAATAACTGTACAGGGACTATATCAGTCCTCATAGTAAATGAAGTTTCTAACACATTTCAGATTTGAAAAAGACGAACCATTTCATCAACAGCAGTGCTATTAGAAGTGCATTACGTAATGCTACGATATGCAGAGACAGTCTTCATGCATAGCGAAATTTCACGAAGTCGTTTAGGTTGAATTCGTCTTGCAGTTACACGTTACAAGCCCCCAATATCACCAACTTGCCATCTGTATAAGGTCATCAAAATAGTTACATAGATGTTTTAAACTGTCAGTTGCATAAGTATTTTGAAGATGTTGGTGTATAATAAGAGAGAGTCAATCAAGATTGCCAAACTCTACTATAGCTAGGAAACCTTCCCGTGGTTCCATATGTCTGTTCAACAGTCACGCCGCTTCAGTGGATTAGTTTTAGTGGGTTACGGGACAATAAAGCTTAGCAGAGAGATTCTACATCCACAGCGTCGTATCCACTCTGTTTGAGGATGGATAAGTGTTTTTGTTTGTTTTGGAAGAACAGGCACTCCGAACATAATGTGGAAAATCGATAACAGAGTCAGCTATATTGAGAAAAACTGGTGGTAAATGCGATAGACACAGGGATAAAACCTTGAGCCTGTAAAAAGACGCTTTGTGCTGCTTATCCTCTGTCTTCCTAAAATGACATTTGGAGGTCAACCAGAAAAATGCTGCACTACAAACAGTTGCACAACGCGTTAGATGTTAGACTGATGACACATAAAGGTAGCTCACGATCTTGGTAGTCCTTGAGTTAAAGACTGCGTTTGGTCTTTTGGAACTGGTTGCACTTTTAAACACGCTTGAAGTATGCCAGATGCCGTAGAAATTTGTCAGTGCTGCAAGCTCCTTGAATTCGCAAACTTGTACGTGTGCAAGCGTGTGTAGAGAGTCTTATAACTCTTTTCTACAATTACTGGATTATTACCAAATCCGTTCTCGTTATTTGATCACAGTAATAAATTAGGTGTGAGGAACGCCGGAAATTATTGGAAATCCCCGTGTGCAAACTCTATGAGCGAGAACTTTGTCAGTCAGGGACATACAGACAGCACTGTCTCCACCTGGGAAACAGACGAAGAAGGAAATGCATTTTAAGGAGCGCTGACAGCGGTGGTATTACTCGTTCGCATGCATGAAGGGCAAAATGAAGCTGCGAAAGATAGAACATCTGCTATGAGCTAAGAAGGTACTAGAAACTTCAGGACGTTTTATGTGTCCTAGAAGCTGCGTTACCTCTAACAGTAGTATGAGTGGATCAACAGCATCATCATCACTATCACAATCAGCATCATCTTCAACACCATCATCATCACCGGTACCATTATTGGTAAAAACATGCATGTGCGGGTTGTACGGACAAAAACGCGTCTACGATATTTCTCATGAGGTTTTGTCAGGTGATCTTGCCTCGGTCCTTTTTCACTTATTCTACTTACGAAAACAGATGGTTAGCTAATGGATGTGGGTCACGGAGCTTGGCCTTCAAACTTTCCGTCACCATTCAAGTGATCTTGCCTCGGTCCTTTTTCACTTATTTTACTTACGAAAATAGATGGTTAGCTAATGGATGTGGGTCAGACGACTGCTGAGTTGATCACGGAGCTTGGCCTTCAAACCTTCCGTCACCATTCAAACATATTTACTCTCTCCTTGCCCTCTTTTAAATAGAGTCTAGAGGTCATCTTACACCTCTAACGTGATTGGCTGACTAAACGTAGTGCTAGTCGTAGTTTGATCAGACGTCTGGTGATCTGTGTGGCCTTGTGATCTATCCTTCTCGCATTTCTTAGGTCCACTGGATACAGTCATTTCAGACCTCTCATTCTTTTTTCGGATTAACTAAGTTCTGGGCATTATTGCGTTGTGATCTTCCTTCCTATTGCTTGATCAGTAGTTTGGCTATCTTCCTTTTTGTATAGGTTTTGTTCTTTAATTTAAATGGACCGCTTATAATTTGTGGTATGTTTTCTCATGTTCGGTTGGCATTGAGCTCGACGAATAAGTTTCTAAGTTCTTCATCGGTCAGCTTCTCAGAATTTCGGTAACTAGTGAAGCAAACATGTCATACCATATTATTTTGACGCCGATTTTTATCTTTGAGATGCATATCCATTCAAGTGCAGTTTAACTAAACCAAGCTTTTAAAGTGGTCAGGAAACACAAACCGAGGGCTCCAGGGTGTCCTATTTCTCATTGTCTACCACTGAACACAACTTATATGAGTCTGATTATCGCACGCAAAGTGTTCTTACGCAGAGAAATGCCGAAGCATTTATTGAAAGCAACGAATAAAAGTTGGGACAGTTCACACTCACTCATCCTGGACAAATGCGGCCGTTCCTTGGCCAGCACGGGCCAGAGACATCAACAGATGTTTGCCTGAATCAAGCCTGATTCCAATCGGAAATAGTTTGGCCTTGTGAACGTTTGACGCAGCTAGTCCGATAACCTGTGTGTAAATAGTCAGACAATTAGTGAAGATATTGTTTGTATGCGGATAAATACTGAGCAGTCCAACTACAGGAATATTGGCATTGAAATCTCCTTACGATGTCTATACACTATTTCCCCCCATAACGTCGACGTACTTGGGAGGAAGCCATGCAAAATTAGACTGCAATGTACACTGTAGCGACAGAGCTGGAGATGTCTGTTTCACACCTGCTCAATAGAAGCCAAACATCCCGATTATGCTATCGTAAAGGCTGATATCCGACTGCTGCAAAAGCATTCGTCAGGTTAAATCGTCCGTTTCTTCAGACTTGATAATTCAGGCGCACCCAGGATGCACCGGCGGAGTAGTGGTAATACGCTTGTCCCGCACGCCAGATTTTCGAGGCCTGGACACCACCACGGTCAAGAGTTGAAACTGCTGATGAGCTCTACCAGAAGACAAACCCGACTCCTGTTCTTCCTACCTTGATGTTGTCATATGTCGTCCCCCGTGGGACAACAAAATAGTACGACTTTTGGGGATCCCCGACATAATGATCTTTTCAGTAGTCACAAGTAGTATGAGTGGGACCAAAGCTATGTTGCAAAATGCAATCACAAAAATGCTCGTCACATGGTAGAATTAGTAGTACATAATAAAACGATGGCATTATTTTGATCTGATATATATGGTGGAAGACAAGTGATATAAAGCTGCTTATCTGGTTGAGAGCCACTCAGCTGCCGAACGTGGCGATCAAAGGTGGTCACTGAACCCAAACCGTGAAAAAAACATAACGAATTGTGAAAATCGGACGAAGAACCGGTATACTATCCCGTTTGCTTAACACATGATAACTGTACACTAAATACTTTATCTAACTCATCTGACGTAGAGTAAACAGCAAGTCAGATTTGCAATTTCGTAAGGATAGTCTCAAAAGGTGCAAACCGATGACGCAATTCAATGTGTTTTCAAATGGGTGCACCGAACAGCTGTTCATTCATCTTTCAGTTGATTAACTATCCATTGCTTAGTTATATCTGACGCAGATCTTCCCAGTGATTAAGACGGTTGCATATCCTGTTGGTTCGGTTGATAAATGCATGTACTCTGCCATTAAATAAGGGATGATACATTTGCAATATGTAAACTCCAAATATTTTGCGAAACTGTCTGTCACCAGTATTTATTACAGAGATCTTACAGAGTTTGCATAGAGTTACGCCACATCAACTACCTGCAAACATTTAGACAGGCTTTCGCTTCTAAGAGTTTGACTTAGCGATTATGTATTACTGGATTGAATGTTTTATGTATTGTATATATTACTGGGCTGCGACGTCTTTCTGTATATGTGTCATCCATCTCATTAGGATAAACAGAGCGGTTCACATTTTCCAGAGCATGTGAAATATTAGTTTTCTAAATCTTTCACCGAAGAGCGCCCAAAATATATCGCCCAGAGTTACGGTTGAGTATTTTCTAGCGATTTTGCTTCCACAGTGTGAAAACAATGCTCACTCCCCCGGAATTTTGTTCAGGCACTATGTCTTCAATCCCCTTAGATGGATATCGTAGATAGATATCGGAGATTTTTCATATCATATCTATCCTGCCAACGCGAGCCAGATCCGCATCAAGCTTTGGTTAGAAAGGTTGTAGAAGAACCCGTGTAAATATCCGGAAATAGCATATTCAGCAAGCTAATTCAAGTAGGTGGTTAGAATGTCCGTTGTCTGTTTTCAGTAGTAAAATCAGTTTACTGAATTCGTTGAGTAGAGTGAAGGCAGATGTGTTGGGAAATATGTTTTACGTGTTGATTACAAACCTGTTTGCGAGATCATGAGAATACGGAGATCCTCATGATGTACAATGCCTACAACTCAGTATTGCCTGCAAAACAGGATACCAAACAATGCAAGCATGCAATAAAGATATAACTGGAAGTGAATTCTATGCGCCTCCATGAAGGCGTTATCGTGATCCAATGAGTTACAGTGCTGTCAAACACTGCATGGTTATTTATGGGAGGATTTGCCTGCAAACCAGTCACAGTTAACCTGGGTGCTAATAGTTCATCCAAAACTACCGAACGCTGGCGACGCCAACAAGCTGCTAACATGTACCTTTCACCTCAGTGTCAGCAAGCTTCCAATGAAGTCAGCTGCGGGGTTCAGCGTTCTTTCACTTGATATACAGTGAAATTGCTATTCATCTTGCCATCTCATTTCTTCAGCCGACAGCAGTGACATTTGGAGAGCATCTTCGTTTAGGGTATGAACTACAGGTGGACGAAATTGCACAAGGCACGAGTCCGTCTTGAGAGTGTGCGAGAAGAGCATGTGTGCACGCATATATCGATAAAAGTAGCATACGGATATTTTACCTCAAGTCATTGAGCATGGTGGCAAGAAAAGCGCTTTCGGCCAACCAGAAACTGAGCTGAAGAAGACTAAAATAAATGGGACTCGGTCGGATTCAGTCAGGTCTCCTGTCAAAACCAAATTCCTATTCAAATAAGAGTGCTTGGCAAGTTGTGACTTCACTTGGCATGGTTATACTCGGTTGAAATAAAACAAAGTTCCATTCAGAAGTATCAGTCCATGAGCCATCTTATCCGCCGTCAGCCAAACAAATCAAATAAAGCCGTTTAACCTACGTCGCATGGGATATCTTGTTTTATTATTTGCTTACGAGTATGGGTTTATTTAGTCATCAATTTCTGGCGGTTTATTTCAACAAGTTTAGTCAACGAAGGCATCTGAAAAGGTTTCAGATACCGACACATTTACAATAGGAATCGGTTGAGTGATCCCGATGAGCAGTTATACACTTAGGTTAGTGATAGCCAAAGTGCATCACTGAAACATTGTTCAGGATGGTCACACACGGTTCCAAGGATTTGATCTGAAACTAGCAGTCAGCTTAAGATGGACTGGCAAACAATTTGTAAATTCATTGCCTGGCACCGTCTCGCTTTCGAATCTTTTCCAACTAAGAACCGATTTCTCTGTCCCATAGTGATCACTCTACAAATGCGCCATTCCGAACCAAACGGTGAGAGAATGATCAGGCACAGATTTCCTGGGAATGTTGTGAATGGTTGAGGGATTTGTAGGATTCACATTCACATCATTCATTTAAAAACCATTCTTTCCGTTTCCATGCAGTCACTCTGCTGATTCCACACTCGTTAGTGACCACCATAATGCTGTGCCGGGATTTGAACTCCAGACGTCTGACTTGCGTGTTACCATTACTCCACCAGCAAGTACGTGACGCATATGGATCATCAGGACTGAATAGGTAAACGTGTTCATGGGGGCCCAGTGGCCGCACAATGTTCTTTGTTGCAAAACCTTCGCAAGTGGAAGAAAAATTTTTGCGCAAATGTTGCATTTTGTTGGGTATGTGCTCACATCAAAAATCAACCTAATCTACGTTCATATTTTCGCAGCTCACCGAATTTCATTGTCCACTAAAGCACTCATACCCCTGACGGAAAAGTCTGGTGAAATGCTTTCCTGAAATCTCTGAGACCCCGGGATGCCTAGATGGGGCTCAAAAGTTTGGACTCGTACTCTGAACTCAATTACCTGTCACTTTTAGTCCGTCAGGAACGCGTCTTAACTTTAGAAAATTCAATTCCATTTTGCGAATGCTGGGCGCCATGTTCATGCGCAAGTCTTGTGCTTAGTTTGGCCGGCGTCAGAATAAATGCGCAAGGACAGTATTTTGAACGTGAATTGATGTGAATGTAACTTCTAGCAATATTTGGCAACCCATCTATAGAAAAAACATCAATGATAAAACAACCACACCCTATACGGTCATGTCCGGTTCAACCTACTGGACGAACGGACGGTGCTCGATGGAGTAAGAGAGCTAAAGAAAAAACTTAAATTCCACCAATGCTATCCGGCTAAAAAGCATTCTCCCGTTGTCTCACCTACCGCCACAACCTCTCCTTGTGAAACTTGATGGCGAAGTCTAAGGCAATTGACGAATTTCAATGGTACTGGCACATATAGTCCTCAGTCTGCGGTTGCGCCTCCTGAATTCCACTGAAATAAGCTATCAAATTTCTTCGTGTGGAGCATATAGACTGGCTAAACCTTTAGGCAGCTAAGGTCTAAGGCAATTGACGAATTTCAATGGTATTGGCACATGTAGTCCTCAGTCTGCGGTTGCGCCTCCTGGATTCCACTGAAATAAGCGATCAAATTTCTTCGTGTGGAGCATATAGATTGGCTAAACTTTTAGGCAGCTAAAATCGAGACCACGAGTGAATTCATGCAACAGATGATGGGCATACGCGTACATGACTGTTTTTGTAGGCACTAGTGCCACTCCCAACAGGATTACGCAGGTGTCCGACCTGTTAGCCTGGTTCAAGTGGAGAGTAGAACGAAGCGAGTACTAAATTAAGGGTAAGCAACCCTACTTGTAGTTAGGGTCCTCAATGAACTTTGTTTTCTGGTATTCGGACTGTAATCTGGCGAATCAGCTGAATAATTTTTGAGATAGATTTCAGCATGTCCATGAGGCGAGATAGAGCAGTGGTTGGAGCGCAAATTTAATGACTGGGAGGTTTGTGGCTCAAACCCGACTTTGTACCTCGACTTCTCCTGCCTACGCTTGGGCAACCTGGCAGTATCCCAGACCCAGTGCTTCCTTCGAATGGACTGCAACTAGGCGCCGAAAGGGTACTACAGCTGAACGATTATCTATCTTATCCCGTCCATGAGGGTAATCTATGCTAAAAATTCGAGAATCGTTGTACATCTCTTTCATCCCAAATGAGAGCCATTAGCCTTTGCCTTTCGAGCCCGCAACACCATGATTACCAGCTTAAACACTTGACTGTTCGGCCCCGAGAGACTGATCGACATTCCGATTAACTCGTACTTAAGATATGGCTCCACTCATCCTTCGATCACGGAAAACACATCGCATGATAACTTGTTAACTGATTCCTCGGGTGACGGCATCCCACAATTGACTTTCACTCGTCTTGAGGAATTATTCGTCCCTGATCCACTTACAGATTGCTGCAGCATAACCGACTGTTATCTCTATTTCACACAATGCATCTATGGAACACCGAGGGAAGCAAACTTGCACACCATATATGAAATGGACGCCGACCTGATGGCGCTGACTTGTCCAGCACTGGATTTTGCACATTTGCATGACGATCAAGACTGTTTTGAGTGACCAATAGAACTCCCGCGGGAATTTGCATTCCTTCTACAGTACGAGGAACACGGCGATTGGATAAAAATGCATTAAATCAACTTTTGAAGTATCTTATTGGCTGAGTTACTAGGAAATAGAAGTCCACATAACCTATGGAATCGTTAATCGTAAAATTCGCAGACGAAAGTATCTCGGATAGGAAACGTCCAGAGGCACAGTGATATGAGAACCAGTGGCTTGAAATATAAACTCCAAGGTATAGTGTACCGAGGATTAGCATAATAGAATACTTTGCCTCGGCGATATAGTATCCCGAGGCACACAGAACTAATGGGTCTCGTTTGGAATTGCAACGGTTTCCCCTGTAACTAAGATCGGTTTTCCCACCTCCACTAGTTTCCCTACCTCGTGTTGCCTTCACAACTCAGTATAGCAGCGTAGCACGTGGGTGGCCCCGCTCACCTACAAGGATTTCCAGTAAACTACAGGCTCACATTTACCTCGTTTGCATTGGTCACATAGCCATCAGTGACGAACAAGATTTGACGGTACCAATCTTTGCCAGTCAGTGGGGCATCATAGGCCGCTTTTAGTGCAGGAAGCACCAAAGTCCCTCCCATGTTTGCCTTCAACGACTTCTGATACGCAAGAGCACGAGCCAGTGTTCTGTCGTTATATTCGACAGGCCTGAGGAACGAAGAAAGGGTATAAGAAGTAAACATTCGGGGATCGTTCATGGAACTGTGCAAAATCTGACAAACTAATGATATACTAATCAGAATTGGTGTAGAGGGGACACGTTTCCTAATAGCACCGAGTAAGCATGGGTGCCAGGCACGAAATGTGTCAGCTTCCTCTATGAACACACACGACCGTGAAATATTGTCACCGCCCTTGTGGAAATGTTGGTGAATTTAGGTATGAAGTGCAAGCTTATACAATCACAAGCTTTTTAACAATCGTCCTTCTGTCCTGGCACAATTATTCATGTGATCCACACCAAAGGGGGGAAGCACTGGACTCGAGTTTCGCTCTTGTTAGAGCTCATCAGCAGTCCATATCCAATGGCCGTGCCGGGGTTTGAACTCCGGACACCTGACATGCGAGGCGAACATGTTACCACTATGCCACCAGCTCACATTACCACTATTCCACCAGCTCACGTTGGACCCATCTGAATTCTCATATCTGAACGGGTGATGTGATTAGTAGATGTGATTAGAATGCCTGACACATCATCGATACAACGACCTAGTAACTGTCCTGGTTGTGACGATCGATTGGCCCGCTTGTCAGGACTTCCCAGTCAGGTAGTGCCACAGACGCTTGAAACCGGCTGGACAACTTTTGCTGCGCCAGGACAGGAGGACGACTGTTCAAAACGAGAGTGATGTGAAACAGAACAATACACCTCCCGCAGAAACTCTCACATGCATCAACAATCACAAGCATTTAGTCCTCCGTACTTTTCTCAAACTTGCCCATGCTTTCACTTCGGTGCCAGAAAATTATCACCTTCGTATGAAATGATTTAATTTTACACACCATAATTCACCCAAACAGGTACCGTCTTTCGCGGTCTCCTGGCACTTTACTTGCCGGGAATTTTCTAAATCTCATATTCAGAGCGCCTTTTCAGAATGTTTTGCTCCCAGCTGTAGCGTTCATGCATACTCATAATGACTGTTCATATCTCACAGCTAAACAATATCCCGACGAACATACTCGGCCGAATTACTCAAATTAGGTCCTTGAGGGACCGAAATTGTCTTCACTGCGCTACATAAACAGCACCAGTGGCAGTTTTTAAATAGCTCACGAGATCGTTGCGGAAGTTTGGCAAGAAGTCTACTTTCCAAAAAATGAAGCAGTGTGACGATTTTAAACATTCAGCCAAATGGTACATTATCAACAACAGATAGGTACTGGATGCATCAGACAACTTCAAAAAGGTATATGATCTCACAAAGCGCAAGCCTTTAGCCGATCGGATTCAAACATCCTTCAAAAAATGCATGCGATGGGTAAGAAATGGATAAGTAAAGCAGGAGAATCATCCAACACATGCAGTAATCTAAGTGGCGTTCAGACAGCTAAATGCAACGCGGAATGCGGTATCATACCTACTTAATATGTCTGATATCCGGAGTTCACATCCCGGAATGGCCAAGGGCATGAACCGCTGACGTGCTTAAATGAAAGCTCAAGTAGAGTCAAATGTTTCCCTAAAATTTGATATGGATCAACCAAAGTAAACGTCCAAGGACTGGGGGGGGACAGTCTAACGAGAATGATGTGCACTCAAACTCGGGAAGTCTTGTGACTACTCATAAGCAATGAGAAGTCGCAGTCCCTGCCCTTCTCCCACACATCCATCAACTTGAAAATAGCGACTGAAGTTGCTTATGTCTTGAAGAAAGAGAGATGTTTGCTTGTCTATGTGATGCGGTTATTGATTTTTTGTAGTGTTCTAATAACTGAGCGAGCAGATAGGACACTGTAGTCCCACATGAGACATTTTAAAACTGGCTTCACTGCACGTTAAAATCCACTCAGGAAGCTCTCAAAAATAACCCTGGAATAATCTAATGTGACTGTGGGAGACTTTGAATGAGGATGTAAAGATATGGGTGAGCGTATGAAAAAAGGTTGAAGGAAGGCAAAAAAACAAATAAGGTGCAGTGGAAGCAACCTCAAGGCATCAATTCAATCACACAGCTTTGGCCGTACAGGTACAAATGTAGAACTTGAACTAACTACTCAGATGCACAGCACATGTTGAACCGCTCTCTTGGGTATCAACCTTTACTGAGCTACGAACAAACACCAACCTGTCATACTCATATCTGCCAGCCAGCCATTTAATGTTGATCGGAGTAGCCCAGATAGTTAATGCTGATTGTTGGTGGAACCACTTTTTCAGGTATGGGTTTCACGTGGTGACCATTGGTCGAGTTATCGCATTACAAACCGTAAAAAAGAGGTGTACTGAAAATATAACCAGCGAAGATCTACAAAAGTTCAGTCACGAAGCAGTTTGGCAATAAGTCTCATTCAAACAGCCATGGCTATAATGATGATTGGTACTTCACGCCGACAAATTCCAGGCGCTTACCTGTGCTTGCAAGTCTTAGATGACGATTCAAAAATGCGACATAACAACAGGTTGGGGAAAATGAGAGGAAGCGAGAGCGTGTCCGATCACTTTGACGATCACTCATTTTGTAAGAATGAGGTCGCCCAACGCAACCTCTCACCAACGTGTTAACCCACTTTTGTAGTGATCTCAAGCAAGCAGTCTTGATCTTCACACATACTCTGTTCCGAACAAAAACTTTTCGCACCCGGGAATGTGAGTGCACCTGATATGATGAATTCAAATGAACGTCGATAGTCCAACTTGAACTTGTTGCATCGTACTGTGAATCAAGGATAGCAGGAAACCCAAGGGAAGCATCACAAAGCATGCTTTCACTCATGGCTCCTGGCTCAGGTAAAGACGAGAAGATATCAATCAACAGGGAAACAAAAAAGTCCAGAACAGAACGTACTCGCGGAATAAGGCTTCATGCGTATTACCAAATCCGATTATCTGGAAGCGACACCCAATCGGCAGAGACTTCAGCATTAATAACAGAGCTTCGGCTGCATTTTTGATTCCAGAACCGCCCATACTTCCTGAAACAATGTGGGAAATTACAACGGTACGTAGTAAACAACAACAATCAGGTGAGTCCTTTCCCTCATGCATGAACCAGAAATACAGTTACCATGACAGGCATATAAAGGATCATTTTCCGTTGCTGGCCGCTGATGTCGTCGTCGCATTGGTTATGTCGAGTAGGAATATCAGAAACCCGTCGGAGGTTCCCCTGAAACAGTCCAATCTTAATGAAGCCACATCTATTTGGGTACCTTTCTTGGAGAAAAACACTGCAAAGTATTGTACCTATTACCTGGGAGAGAATTATGGTTGATGGCTGTTATCCAGAATGAGAATCCGGTATGGGACATTCAGATGACAAGGAAAACCGAAGGACAAGACCCAATCACGTGATTGATGGCATTTTACACTAGATGTGTCATCCCTAATAAACACTTTCTTAAATGAACTGCGAGCAAGTGCTTATAACTGAACCGGGCCGCTGATGTCGTCGTCGCATTGGTTATAAACACTTTCTTAAATGAACTGCGACCAAGTGCTTATAACTGAACCAGCGCAGACCATCGCCTCCGAAGCATGGGATTCTCCGCCTTCCACTTACCCCAAAATGGGTAAACAAATAACTGTGACTGCGGATGCAGTGCTTCGAGGGAAAAGGCAACGAGTCTAACCAAAACTGTTTTCTTGTGCAATGATCCTCTTTAAACGGAATCTGGTGCTCATGGTCATGGAAAAGTTCAGCTACTCAAAAAGGTTCCGACAGTTGTCGGCTACTCCGCTGGGTCATTCCTGATCTTGATCGACCTCGAATACTTTATACCTATCTGTTTGTCCCAAACGGAGTTAATGCAAATGCCATTCACTGATTGATGGTACAGTGGTGAAGTTACGACCGGGTTACTTATTTCGTCCTTACATTCATTATGTAAGAGTTATTACAGCCACCTGAAAGCCAAACTGACTGATCTGTGCGACTGTGCGGCGTACCTAGCTCCTTGCAGTTTCTCTCGTCACAGTACATAACTGGCACTGAACGAGCTGTATCATTCGACCGTTTCCAGTTTATCTTCTGATTGGTACTCAGTGTCTCCTCATCATCCAATGCTGCCCGCGTGGGTGGACGCAAAGCGAATTCAAGTCCGAGGCTGCAATGGTACACTCTTTACTATAAGCCAAAAGACCTTAACTTCGGTCTTTCAAAATATTCCACTAGGTTTTCTTATAGAACAGCATGGATCACTTCATCAGGTCACTCGAACAGTTAGGTTGTAACGATCTAATGAGGTGTGAATGATTAACGTGATCAAAACAATCCAGGATATGTTCTACTTTTGGATTGATTTTTGGTCGAGCGTTGTTGTTGATCATGCGCGTTGTTCTATCGAGGAACCCAACAATCGAAAGTGGGAACAGAAGAATTCGCTTTCTTGCGTGGGAATCCTCCACTATCAAAGGAAGGATTCTCATGGCATTGAGTATCGGTACACTGTTTGTTCCTGATGGAGTGTACCGAATGAAGCTAGGCCTTAATTAAATGGCCACAGAAGCAGGTGGATGAAAAAAGTAGCCTTCAGAAATATACAGCCTTCGTATCAGTGCGGTTTCAGCAGACAAGAAAAGAATTGAAGGGCGAACAAGTGTGAGCGACTTTTTTGAGTCCCTTTGGAATTTACTGCTGGTTCATGACGTGAGTAAGGCTACACTAGGAACATGGTCATACTGGAGAAAGTGTACATAACACCATTGAATACTCAAACACTCAAGGTAGCGGTTAAATAAAAATCCCTATTTAGGATAAACAACAACAAGATGTTCCTACCTGAACGATCGATGACGAACACCAATTCAGTTTTTCCTCCTTGTTTTGAGGAGAACTTGGAGAAATCCGGCAAAAACTGTGCCATAATGCAATCCATGGTCGTGATACCGGACTTCAACGAGATTCCCGGCTCTGCCACAGCAAAGGAACGGAGATGTGCGTCCATCCTGATGACCATTTTAAGGTCATGGTCGAACGTATTTCGTGATTTCAGGATTACCTGTGACAGATGTGCATTTTTCCTTTTTTTATTGGTTGGACTTAAAATACACGTGAATCAGAGCAAACACAGTGTTGTACTGAGTCCTGCAATTGAAACTTGACAGGTTCAGTACCATCAGATTTGTCTGTCTACCTCTTGGGTGGAAGCGAATTCCTCTCACCCTAGATATCTGCGAATATATTCCCTTGTCCTTTCCAGAAGACAATATAGAGCTCCACGCGAATTCAGGAAATTTCCTAATTGGGACTTTCGAATAACAGTCAGTCAGTCCATTTTATATCGTGATTCGGTAGGCGGTTAATTCAGGCTGAATCGGGTCGTCACAGTTCTGTGGTAACATCCACGATGTGGCCTTATTCGAAGATGTCATGGTTATTCACCACTAAGGATGAAATACAATGGCGGTTGTGGAAGGAGGTTTCTTCTGTTGAGCTCATCTGTAGGTTAGAATTTATCCAACTGGTGATTAGGCAAAGTTCCTCATTTTCAAGACCGACCGATATATTTCCTCTGCTCCGAGGTTTCGTTACAGAGATACTGAAGCAGGTTTAATTTGTCACATCGTAAGTAGTGTGCAACGATTGCTCGAGATCCACAGACAGCTCATTGCCGAGTTAACGCTAGTTGGCACTTGTCTTGTAATTCTGTTGACGGAAATTTGGGAAAAACACCGAAGAACGGTTTGTTTGAACTCATTTACCGTTTTCATTACCACATTCCCTGTGCAATCACCGGTTGCTACGCAGCGAACTGACAGCTCACATCATTTAAACTCCTCCCACTCCATCAGACTCGGAGAATTGCCAGCGATTTTAATAGCCAAAATTTCTTGCAGATTGCCTTCAATCTAAAAAATTCGTTTGGGTCAGGCTGTTGCATGGACGAATCATCCGGCAAACAGTGTGACTGGCTTTCGAGGCTGTATACGCACGCATCTGCAAAGTATGGTCACCTATTTCGAGAGCACTCTGAGATCAACTGCAGAGACATGCTGTAAAATTATTCGCCCCTACAGACCAGTGGTTCAGTTGTTGCACCGTAGGACTACAGAGAACTGGAACAACATTCTACTAATAGGTGCACGGCCGAAATGTCGAAGTGAATGGTAAGCAGATTTAGGTAAGCCAGCAGTCCTGGAGGACACACGCGCCCACAAATGGAGACTGCTAGTTACTGAAATAAAGTAAGACATAAATACGTATACTTATGTTCAGGGCGCCGAAAAAAAGTATGCAGTGCAAAATAAATCAGGAAGACTTGACCCTAGTGGGCTCATATCCGTTTTTGAAGTTGTCTGTCGGACAGAATCACGCCGTAAGGAGCCCGAGCACGATGAACCATTTTGGATGCGGACTCCGGTGTGCAACCTAACTCTAAGGCCAAGAGACTAAGATCAGAAGGCAAACAGGAGGTTGCAGATCTAAAGTATCAGGCGTGCTCAGCCTATAGCTCATAAGTGACTTGTCATGTGCGGACGACTGAATGGCTGAGTATTACGATGAGTGCAAAACGTAGCTCCAAGGCCCTCTAGTAATGAGTTTGGTTTGCACAACGATGGTCACAGATGCCCACTTTAATGCCTTTGCAGGTTTACCATCCCCAGAGTTCCAAGAGTGTTATGATGGATCATCTACAGTCCAATACATAAAACATACTGGATACAATAGCATGCAGCGCAACACAATGTGGTACAACACACTACGACACAATGAGATGAAGGTGAAATACAGGGGGAAAGGAGACAAACCGACAGTCCAAACAAGGGTTCCGAGGGAATGAGCCACATTGAATTCCTATATGTCTGAGCCGTGGTGCTTCTCCGGATGAAAGCGAGTGCTATTTGTCACATATGTGCATAATAGATGCTTCACTTCTAGCAAATACTCTTTAAACAGTAGCCATATATTCGCCATATAGATGCACAGGATCCACTCAACCATCAGATTGTAGATCGGCGCGCGTTGCATATCCGAGTGAGATATTTACCGATCTTGCTTAGCCTTCCAACGAAGACCACCTACGATCTTGTCAAACTAACCAGCGTATTTTTAAGTTACGGTCCGTATAATGTATCAAAGCAGACTCATTATGTGTCTTAGTCGATAAACCGAATCCAGGTCATTGTGCACTTACACTGTTCTCTGACAAATACACCTGTAATTTTCCCATCACGTGAGCTCGAAAACGTAAGCGGGACCTTTAAGTCGGAATGTTGCATGGATGGTTTGTCCATTAAGTTAGCTTTTATTGCCTTTGAAGGCCGTGTGCACTTTGGCAGACGAAATAAACATTCCACCCAAGGACTGTGTAACATGGCAACATGCACTCTTCACTTGGGTTTGCCATACCCGATCGCTCCATTCGACTGCATTGCGCAGCTGACTCTATTTAGACGCTTGTGAAAAGCACACCTAAGTAGCACGGTCAGAACAACCACATCAACCAATTCAAACGTGAGGCAAAATTGGGTACTGCAGAAAGGCTAAAGTGTAGAAGTACATATTGGCTGGTTTGGTACAATTACTTGGACATTTCGGTAGACCGGTTTAGTGAATCAGCTAACTACCGGTATCTTTTGAACTCACAGTAAGGACGTGCTAACAACATACCACTGTTAAGTGGTTCACTATTCGTCAAGGAATGCAGATAAGCCATTCAATATTTAAGCGGAATGTACTCGCCCAGGAGGAAACAGCTCCATCGATAAAATAGTTTTGGAGGCGCGGGATTTCGTTCAGTTGCAATTGCTCTATCGAGGGATCAAATAGCTCAGAACCGAGGAGAAAGCATTTTCTGGTTTCACAAATGGCTCATTTACTCCCACAATGGAAATTTTCAATTTCATTGAGCCAGGTTTACCAGTCGACTCTCTGTTCAGACAGATCCCGTCATAGGCACTGATTATCTGTCAACCTACCACATCAATGAAATAGCCTTGCTCCCCCCCCACACACACACACCGCATTTTATGGCTGAAATAGACAATAAATGCAATGTAGCCAAACGAGGCGATGCGCAATAACTAAATATTCCTGAATTTACCAGCACTCCCTAGTCAAATGGTCCCACGGACGCGTGAAGCTAACCGGAAACTCTCTAATCAGTTGTGGATGGTTGCGGAGGTTGTAGAACTCTTGCTAGTTCATATCGAACTAGAACAGGAGTTTCGCTGTCACGGAAGCGTAAGAACAGGTGTGGTGAATCGCGGCCACAAAAGGACCTGCCGTACTTTGTGGGCTGCAAAAAGGACCTGGCGAGCCGTACGGTTTTTGTTGCCATGGCTCCTAAGTCTACCCATGGGGTTGGTATGAGGGGCCGATCTGAAAATCTGAAGCATTGTTACCGCAACGTGGTGTACCTGCGGCAGGCCCATTTATGCTTTTTCAAAGAGGGTTGAATTTCGTGGCCCCTTTAGTTTTGATAGCAGTGGTCTTATGCGTTCAAGGCCTTGGAGGATAGGGTGCACACTATTTCACTACAGGTTGTGGTGCACGTGGCCTACCTTCGCGAGGAGCGGCTAAAATCGACTCAAGGAGAACGAAAGCACAATTTTTCAGGGGAGATGGGGGCGGCTGTACCGGTTACATGAAATTCTTCAGAAATCTAGCGGGAAATTTGCCATGAAGGCTGGCAGATGTGCCATTTTTTGAAAGGTCACATTTGGCGGAGGTTATTGCATATTACGTGCATCCGACTGTACAGTTGTAGGCCTATTAAGTCACTCTCACCAGCTTAGACGAAGAAAACAATTAATTAAAAGCCTTGTTTTCAAAATCTGTCGCTAGGTCCACCAACGCCATTTCAATATTCTATTCATTTAAGGCAGCATCATACTGACTTGTATACATCTTGAAAGTTCTTATGTCCCAACTTTAGATATCTATCCAGAGCAGAGCTGCCCCACTAAGCAGTCCATAAATCATTCCTCCTCGTTTATGAGTTGATGTCGGATTCCCACAAAGAGAGGCCAATCAAAATAGAGGTTAACAAATCTGTCGAGGAGGGTGTTGTGCATGATTATCTCCATTATATCGCCACTTTGTTATCTGGTGTATATCACAGTACTAATGGAAACAATTGTGAAATGCAGAGAGACTTAGAACGATAGATCGAGGTGTAGCTTACAGTCGAAAAAACAGTCTTTAAGTCGAAGTTATCGCTAGCTTTACAAGTTGTGCATTGAATCCAGCCGTTACGGAGATAGCACAAGTATGCAGCTAATACACAAAGAGCTTCAGTACCCATAGTTTGATTACTGGCAAACACTGGTCAGCAATTCGTCTAGATCAGAAATTATTAGGATCGAAAGCTTAGTGCGCACTCCCAAAACACAAAGAGACCATCGAATGCATATAAAAAATCGCGCGTCTAAATCCAGGTCGAGATTATTGGAAAGGAAATGGATAGTATCTAGATGCTTTCAACTGAGATTTCGTTCAATCAGTATAGCTGATTTGTGTTGCCAAACCAAGAAGCACCAGACGGCTGTTCCACTCTTGTTGGAAATCGTCAGTAGTGCATATCTCACAAAACTCAGAGAGTTTCAAACCCAGTCAGTATTTTAAGCATTTAATCGTTCGTCCATGAGCGGCTGAACAGTAGTATGATGGGCTCTCACTTAGATAGAACATAGCACCGCTTATGCGTCAGCCAGAAAAACCGCATCACGTGGTCACGTATTGACTGACGAGTGACGACTTCTCAGAAGGGAGTTTCACTCATCTCTACCTGGATGATTGATTTGTATGGGTGTATGGTCTGTACGGACGCCAATTAAAGGTAAATGCACATAAAATAGCACAGGCGATATTAAAACTAGATCGCTTTAAATGCGAACTTGCTTTGGCCCGACGTTTATCCGTTTTGTCTATTTCAGTAGTGTATTCATCATCAATCAAAAAAGCTTTCTGGATAGTGTGAGGCATCTTCACATTGGCTTCGAAGGATATCGAGTAAGGAGTAGCGTTCACCTGCGACGGATGCGCGAATGGGTCATACTCTCGAACAATTTCCGATTCTAAAGTTCACAAGATATTAGAATTGAATTTAGACAAACGAAATAACCCACTTAGTGGTGAGTACCTAGGGTTGATGACCGAAGGCAACAGAAATATTGCCTCTGATTTATGAGGACTACTCGTATCATCAGCGATATTATCGGCAAGCAAGTAGCCAATATACTTGATCGTTATTTTCACCGTTTCTTTTGCTGGTACATTCCCAACGCTGATCTGAAAAAGGTCTTCGGAACTTTCTTCTTGTTCAACCAAAATGGCTCCATGTTCCTCCGCAACTGCTTCCTTGTAAACGGTTTGCGCCTAAAGTAAAAATGTGTAACAAAACTTGTGTGTGCGTACAAAAACAGTGAAATCAATCAAAATAAGGAATGTTTCAGCTTGTTGAAACAATCGACCACTGAATAACCACATACTAATGTGCATCAGTTTTGGTTATATGAAAATATTCTCTGTTGAGAAAGATCCGACCATCCAAATTCATAAAGAACACTTCAAACAATCCCGTATGGTTGAAGTCTCTGCGAAGTTTGGAAAGAAAATTGGCCAGATTAGCCACCGTGCCTCCGGTTCGAAAAAGAATGCACTGAAGCCGTTCACTTAGGTTGTAACTAAGCTGGTACGTGGTCCAGAAACACTGAAAATATAGAACAGCTTAAAAATTAGCTCCCGGACAAATTTAACAGCAACGTCCCATTTCTAGTTCAAATGATGCACATCAGATAGTGCGAGAACAATAATAATGTTTTTACCATGCATTTGATTTAACAAAAAATGTAGTCAACAAGTAGGTTGTTTAGAGAAGCGCTAGAAGTTAGCTATTTGGCCAGATCAATCGTTTTAACTTGTTCGAGCAGGCTGCCACACAGCTGACATCATACGGTAAATGTGACAGTAATGCGTGAGGGAGAGTAGAAGCGCTAGAAGTTAGCTATTTGGCCAGATCAATCGTTTTAACTTGTTCGAGCAGGCTGCCACACAGCTAACATCATACGGTAAATATGACAGTAATGCGTGGAGGTAGAGTGACTGACACCATAGACTTTTACCGTCGAAAGGAATTGCTCATAACATACGCAACGCCGGACCATAAAATCATATTCAACTATGCTGGTTTCTACTCCAACTTTTTCACACAAGAGAATCTTATTTACCGCCTACACTGACTTGACAAGTATCGGCAAAAACATCGAAAATCAACGGTCTTATGATCATTGGAAGAAATGCATTCTTTTTGTTGCGCACAACGGTCGGATAGAACTATGACGTGGGTTTGATTACGTTTTTAATGTGGATAATAGAGGACAATTTTTTAACCTTTGTGGATGATGAAGACGAATGGATTTGAATAGCAGACAGAAAACCGATACTGCTTGAAATTGTAATTCCCTTAAAAGGTGAATTTTCTAAGACAGTTTCTGCAATGCTCCGGCTTTTGAAATTCATCCGATCAACTGTATACCTACCCTGTGAAACGTTTAACTCCAAGGTGTTCAATAATTCAGAAGTTGCAAGTTTTTTTCCAAAAGGTGACTACAGTGATCTCCAATCTGGCATTAGCATACAAGCGGTATGTTGCAAACTGTAGGAAGTGTGAAAATTGGCCTTGTGTTAGGTCACACCTAAACATATGCGATGCTGCTATTCAATCAGTGTCAGTAAATACGATTGTGGTTGAATTTTAAATTCACGTTTCTGCACACAGAACTTCGATTATTCGCCACCTACATTTACAGACAGGCTAACTTGTTGTGCCATCTTCCCTTAGCAACCCCTGGAATGGAGAGAATTCCGCAAACATCGTGTCCAGCCATAGGGTACGTGTACAGGTTGTACAAAAATTGAGTTACTTGTGGTTACAATAATACAAGCTAGGAAAAACTCAAGGGTCTCTGAATGGAGTTTGAAAGCCTCAGTGTAGATATACAGAGGTAAATTGGGTTCAGTGACTGGTGGGTCCAGATGACATTCAGCAGCTTCTTGAAGAATCGGTGTTGTCACGGTGTGCACAGGTAAGATCTGAATGGAAATAATCTTCATAATGAAGGAAACTAGTGAAAAAGTTGCTGAAAACCCTTGGACAGCCCATGACCTGTTTAGCCCATCTTAAGGTTCATCAGCTAGGCGCAGTCCGCGAGTCTCCGCCGGCCTTATGTTTTACCTGAACTCAAATTAGACCGATTTCAACCATACACTCATTCGCGTATCACGGGAAACTCTATTGAATCTCTCGTTTATGATATTCTCTAAGCAAATTTGCCGCACAAAGGCCGCCTCATGTTTCAGTTCGTACAATATTCTATGTGCAAATGAATGCATTTGCCGAAAAAAAACAGTAGCTGGGCTTAAATTATTCACTTTGGATGCTTCTAAGTGAACTATTGGACGTTCACTCAAGGACAGAGAAAATTCGTTCTATGGTTTGTTCTTATATAGAAAAACCATGTGGAACAACGACGATAAAATATAAAGCGATATTCGGCCAACTTGTTCCCACTCAAATGCGTGAGAAATACAATTAAAGAGTTTTGGGGTGGAACTAGCCTTCAGTTGCAAAGCCATTAATTACGATTTTCCCAGATCAAACTTTCCAGCAAAAGTACAAATATTTATGTAAAAAACTTCATGAAAAAATCACTTCTTCCCGGGGACGACATTCGGCGATGATAACACGTTCACCAATCTGCGCCTCGAACGCGTACACGGCGACGTCGTCCAGTGGGAAAACAAATTTAGCATCAGATGCTTCCTCATACTGATTGTAATATGTGAAAGTTGTGGCCACATTGGACGTTAGCGCAGCCACGTTGCACCGAATGGTAACAGCTTTCAGTTGAACCGGTTCGTTTGGGTTTCGGAATGAAAATAATCCAAACTTTTCTGCAAAATGACAGATTCACACATCCCTATCCGTATTAAATGGACTTACGCATTTTCTTGTTCTGTCAGGAGAATGTATCGATTGAACCTGTAGTTTGGCTTTTTCAGGCCTTTTTCGATGCACTATAACAACAAAAAACAATATACTGAAAGAATCGTATTCACTCATTAGTATTCTTCTACAGTCGAAGTCTATTCAATTCCATTGTAGTTTTCGCCGATCTTAACCGTTGGTACTCTAGTTGTGACGACGGGCTATGTCCATGGATGTCACGGCGGTAGCTTCCCAAGCATACAAGTGGTTTGTTTGGGGGGAAAATGGTTGTCCCTGTGTTTTTAAATGTAGGCTTGGTTCATTTCTGGTGTCTCGCACTCTAACTGGCATTATTTGGTCAAAATGCAAAGTATGTAAAGACCGTCAATGGAAAGTATCCAAGCGAACGATAATTTAGGAGACATCTGGGGGAACAATGGACAGGCATGCAAGAAAAGGACAGGCAGTTTGTAATAATCCGGTCGTTTACGGTGTAGCAGTTAGCACTGCCCTAGTATGGCGTCACAACTGCGTATGGGTGACAACTAAACAACTCTGTTAGGTTGCTTTCATTGTCACAACGACGAATTTGTGTTGGTGTCATGTGCAGTCGTTTGAATTGCTCTTTTTAAGAAGCGATGCTACTTCACATCAAAAGTAGTTACCTGTTCATCTATGATGGAGCATAGCGACCATCATATACACTTAGTAAGGCAACCGTTAATTGTACCACTCAAAGGATACCTGGTCATTAGTACCAGAAAAATAGAGCTTGTTTAGATGGAACAGATTTTGAGATACTACAACTAGTGATGCTTCTGGACTGTCATGGAATTCCTTGTCCAAGATTAGGCGGCGGAATTCAGCCGAATGAATCGCAGTAAGACAGTGACTTGTTTGTGTTTATGTATACGTTTAAGTGCGATTCTTGGCACGGTGTCTCTAGAGAACATTTTCCAATTCCGGAGCTAAGTTTGTCAACTACCTGGATGCTTAGAAGCTTAGACTCGAATAGACTCATGTTGGACAAACATCATAACAGGTCGTTCTGTTCGCTACGTCTGCATTAGTGTCAACAAACTTCTTCGGAAGGTTGACAAAGCGTAAAGTGAAGACACAAAGAACAAAAAAATAGCGCCATTTTATCAAATGCTCTTTGCGCAACAGATATTCTGTGTGTATATGAGACGATATGTTGCGTAGCACTTCGTGATCGAGAATGAAACTTATTCAAGGAGATCACAGTAACGAGCCACAAATGCTGATGTAATCGAGTTCGTGCGCTGTAGTCTGATCCTCAATTAGTTGCCCAAACGCTCCTTGCTCGTGCTTCTTGATACGTATGATTTTTATTCAAATGGAAGGAGTACCACAGAGAAAAAGCTCATTTGTGTTAATACAGGAAATTTACCTTTTCAAATTATCTTTCATGGTCAGTCTTCTGGTTTTAGATAAAGCATTTGTCTCCACTGCGAAATTTGGGGTCTTGGCCTTGGCGTTCCGCGTGAAATTGCAACTATAGTTTCTCTTTTTCTACGTACTGCCCATGACTGTTGGTTGGTGCGGTTAGCGAAAAGAACGTATTCATTCTATCCATCCTTATCAAAATCTTACGGTGAAAATAATTAGCCAGTCTTGTGAGAAATAGTTATTTGATCGTTGTCTACGACCTTCGTATTTGAACAGAAACTTTGATACTCCACTAGCAGTGGAATGGGTTTGCCTTCGTTGCAACCTGGCAATCACACGCAGAATGTGTGCTCGACTCAGAATATCCGAATTTCTACAGCAGCTCCAGTTTCACTGTACTTCTGACGCATCACTCGTAACAGGGGTGAAATTCTTCTGTTTACGTAAAGGGGAACGAAAAATAACTAGCAGTCAAGTTTCACTGACATAAATTGGGAACGGAAGGATAGATACGCTAAATGTATAAAACTTTTTGGCGGATTAACCTGTCTAAAATTATTCGGCACACAGGTAATTATTCGACTGAGTGAAGACCTGAAAAGTACTATTGGTAAACTCGCTTTATACCTCCGTCTTCTCATTTGGTGAATTGATGCAGGTAGATACTTTAGAACGGTTGAATTCCTGAGTTTTTCATCTTCTTAGTTGAGTAGCTATACACAAACGTCCATGCAACTGAAGAAAAACTTGATTTGTCTTCAACGTTACTGAAAATGAGTAGTTTATAAGAGCTCTGAAAGCACGTTCAAATTCTTCCAAGTTCTCGCCTAATAGAACTAGGTTACCAATATGATCTAAGAACGCCATCAAGGTTTTGAGAAGTAGGCTGAACTTCCGAGTATCAAGTTGATGTCCTTTAAGCGAACATTTGAGTACAAGGTTAGAAGAGACTGTGACAGAGTGCAACTTCGTTGTACACTAGACTTGTTGAAACCTCCACTGCGTATCCAGACGCTCTCCTTGCTTCAGTGAGATTTGAAAGATTTGTTGCAAAGTCAACAGCTAGAGGACTTGATGATAATAACTCACGGTCAACCAGGTCAACCGGAGCATGAAAGTTGGCGAAACAAGTTGCAAAAAGTTAAAATCTAAGAGGATCTCAAAATGTTCTCTGCAGGATAGATATTTCGTCCATAAGGCTTTATTCATGATATAAATCTCTTTTGCTTGGCCTCATGCATTAATCCATATCCTGGTGTTGTAAAAGACGCAAGTATTCCGGCTTTAATGTATGTAAAGTTGTCTGAGCACTCATTTTCACCATTTTGGTGGATCATGTTGAAGTGTATTAGTCTGATCGTATGAGTTGATCAGAACGGTAAAGTTTGATTTGGTAGGCTTCGTAAACCTCAGTTTAGATCTCGTCTTTACTGAGTTCATCGTTCAGACTTTTAATATATATAACGCTTTCACAGTGGACGCCTAAGTCGCATCCGAATTCACAGGTGCTTACGCAGCTGCTCAAATTGGTTTAATCGTAGCTTTCTTGACGTTGTTGCTATAAACCTTTCTACAGGTATTGCGCAGTAAAATGCCACTCACGGCGAGCTTTAATTTAAGACGAAGAAGTTTTTTTCCAAAATATTCAACCTTGAAAGTGGGTCAAATGAAAGATATAGCCTTTTCTGGCATAATTATGATTATTTGCCACAAGTTTAAGAACATATATCCCCACGGATGGAGGGCTTTCCTACTTCTTGAACAAATCCATGGCCTTATATATTTAGCTGATGGAGTGCAGTTGCGAACTGTTTGACTGGTTCCTAACTCTCTTAATTATCTCTCGTGCCATCCATCAGTTGCTTGCCTAGTACCGCCGGTTATCCGACTAAAATGAACTGACATGGTATATTCGAAGATAGCGTCTTCAGGTGACTATGTAGTTTTCCAAACAGCTGAGTGGTGCATTGTTGCCGCGCCTAAATGACCACCTATCCGCGAGGTGACTTGGGTTCTTCTTTCACGAGTGTGTGGTTTGCACCTATAATGTCTGTGTTCTTAGCGTCCTTGTATTTTACACCATGAAGCCTACGGTGCTCAAACCAAAACAAAATCCATCTGGAGGCTGTTCAGTGAAAACTTGCATACCAAGCCAGAAAGTGATTTATGGGTACCGTATTGTAAATTCACTAGCAAGAAGATTCCGGGAGTAGCGAAATGTCATCCTCCTCAAGGTACGATCTATTGATTTTTTTCTCAATTTTTCTTGCAGATAAACACAAGTAATGCATGCCTCTTTCTATTAAAACGAGTTCCAGAAATGGAAGCGCATGAGGAATTCCTGTTTCCCGTACCCTCAAATACCCAAATTACGTGTAGGCGGCTCTAGGGTAATGAACCACCGGAAATATGAGTTGAAGCCACAAGGAATTTTCCTCATCTGACCCGTCAAAATAAAGTGTCCGTGCTTCTATTTAAACATATTAGTGAAATGATTAGAGCCTATGTTTTCTTTCTTCCCAGACTGCAAGCCTGAGAGTGAACCAACATTCTAGGAAAACAGTAGCTTTATTTTTGCTGTTGCATGGATCGTTTTTCATTCATATCGTTTGGATAAAAATGAATATGCTCAATTGTTCTACTTGAAAGAGCGCTAAACGTTAGGAATTGTCGGAAAAAGTACTGCTCTACAACCGTGATTAGTTTACTGTTCACTTGATTGAAAGGAGCTTCAACATCAATTTGGTTTACTGACTGATGTGCAGTTTGTTATCTTTCATTTGGATGGTATTTAAAATCCGTTAGAGTTGAACGGAGTCCACTTGGGGTAACGGAGGAGTTTTACGGCTCATCATCATCAGTGGGCAGCCGTCTTTGCAAGCCAACTGACCCTGATACGTTGTTGGTTTGTACGGTAGATGGTGCTGCACCAAGGACCGTCCCCTATGGGGAGCCACTTTGCACTGAAAATTATGGCGAATGAACTCCGCTGAACTTTACACCGAATTATCATTATTTCGGAGAATCTGATGAAGCTATAGTCTCTAAGCAGTGCAATCAGTAAATTAGAAAACCGGCTTTTATTCACTTGCTGATTCCTCCAAAGCTTTGAGCGGCGTAATATTTATTTAACAGGAGATCTACAATCTTTCTGTTGGGCAATCTTTTAGTATTACATAGTCTTTCGAGTTGGGCTCAGCTGTTTTGTTTAAAATTACACTACTTGATAGAAATGTAAATGCATAACGTGATTCATTTAAAATTTCCCCTCACTCAAGCTTATAACTTGAGTTAACGAGGCATCCTCTGAATAACGTGGAGGGAGGAGAAAATGATCTTGGAAGTAACAGGTTCAAGGGTCGGATCTACACCATCATTTATGAGATTAATAGCAGGGTGTTTTTTGTTTGATAGGTGGGTACCTTTTGCTATTAAGAGGTACGTCATAGAACTGCCTTTGTAACAGTGGAAAAACTGGATGCCAAATATGCGTTCAAACAAGTTGTTGTGGCTGAGTTATACCACTTTCTTGTAGTTTTTTGCTGTGGCTACTGGTGTCTGGAAGACTACGTTTCATATTCTGCGACCAGAGATTGAGCTACCAACCAATCATAGGAAGACTGGATAATGACAACCTAGCTAGTGTGGGTTGAGGCTGACTATTTAAACTTGGGAATCTAGGATGCCTGTGAATGCAAAGCATTCCATCCTCTGACCCACTTGGATTTGCTGTGGTACTCCTGTTTTACAAGATTATCCGGACCTGCAGTGGGTAGCTCTGATAAGCCGCTATTTTTTGGTAAAGGTGTTTTAGTTATTCTTATTGTTGTGAGTTCCGATTAACTTGCTCTGTGCTCCTCACAAGTTCAGGAATACTTTTTCTATTTTAGCGCCTGATGGTTACACAGGTACTTTCTCCGCCGTAAGTAGAATTCTAACTAATTCTGTGATGTACGGGAGAAAGGCCGTGAGATGTAGTAAGAGATGTATGGAACCTTTAGAAGCCTTGTCCCTGGGTAGCGTGATTGAAAGTTCGGTGGGCCTATTGTACATATGCCTCACCAACGTTTGTCTTGAAAACTTACAGATCGGGTATGATGCGTTTAAAGACTACCGGGACAACAGAATTATTCGTTGGGATTGCATGGTTTGAGTCAGATGATTCACATAAAAACGCGTTTAGTGCTCAGTAAAGATGTGGAAACAATGGACGCGATTAAACCACTGCTGATTACGACTTCATATCTTAAGAAATTATATAAAATTGCGTTATTTTGGATGGATGAGCTTATCTCGAGCTCTTCCTGAGATGAGCTGCTGTCAGCGGCTGACACCGAGAATTAAGCTCTACTGATAGCATTTAGTTCTGCAGATAAGAAAGGAATGGCATAGTGCATAATTGATGTGCACGATGTCTGCCGAAGTTTTACAGTGGGAGAACTTGGTTAAGTTTTGCGCCGTGAGTAGATTTATTTTTGATGTTAAAAATTACAAATTTCTGAATTTTGTGAAACAGCATCAGATTTTGTCACAACAAGATGGGAAAATACCATTCGTAAACTAGGTTTAAACCGTTTCTTGCAGTAACGTGAATCTGTTATGCGCAATCCTGACTCCTTGACACTTTTTCTTAGCTTGACTGTTGCACACGCTGTAAAGGTGTTGGACATCCAGTTGTGCTTCCAGGAAGATTCTGCCACTGATAACGTAATAGATGAAAGACACTCTCTAAGTAACTACAATGTTGAAAACGCCTCGCTACTTATTCCCTTCGTCTTTAATGTAAACAGATTAGTGAATCCAAAAGCAGGACAGAACGAGGTTTGGTTAGTTGCAACAATAGAGCACAAATGCCGAAAAGAGAAACAGAAACAGACGAAGACAAAGAAACAGCGGAAACAACTGGATTATAAAGAAAGGCATTTGCTCGCCTCAGTCAAATGGCGCTAACCGAAATTGACTAAATTTTGCGGATGCTCATTCTCCCCAGGTTCCCAAGTAGTTACGGCTCCAAGTAAAGTTGGAAAAAGCCCAACATACCGCAATCAATCTCGTCCATAGAGCACTTAGGATAAATGTTGTTGTTTAGTTATGGCATTTTGGCTGTTATACTGGTTTTGAAGACCATATTGGCTCGTACATTACAATGTCTTCTTTTCAGATTATGATTCAGATCTACGAGGAGTAGAAAGATTGTGTCATCCCTTACAGTGAGTTCACAGGTAACTAAATGGTGGTTAGCAGGTGAGGAAAGATATCTGTGGTACAGACTCCCCGGCTTCGGTTCGCACGTCCAGGTCTTACAGTTATCCAACTAATTCTGGTCAAGCGAGCCTTTAGATGCCTCGCCCAAATGTTCCCATGCAACGTTGCCTAGACGGTTAATCCAAAAAGGTACTGCTTGAAATGCAAGCAGACCACTGATGGTACCCTCCGAATCCCAATTGTATAAGTAGCCGCAAAGTTAAGAGCGGAGTCACCACCTGATGTCCTAGGACACGACAAAAGAAGGACATGTCCATACAATTAGGGCAGTATTTGGGGGTGCCGAAGTTAAGATCTATGCAACGACCACTGTAGCTGTGGTACTTCAGTCCTGGTATTATTCCGTCAGGCAAACTCTATACACGTTCCGCTTACAGGCTTCCGTCTTCCATACATTCGAGACAAGTCTTTGTACCATTTATTAGTATTCTAGTTACGAGTATGCAAACGCGCTGATTAGACCTGTCCACCACTAGGCTAAACGCCGCGGCACCCAGGAGAAAAACCTATCTTTGTCTTTTTTGATGGTGCAGTGAAGACGTTATGTGTGCACTGTTAGAATGTTTTAAATTGTCTCATCGTGTCGAAATGTTTTTTATTGTCAGTCAGTAATGCTTCAGCATGCCGAGTTTCTATCACGCTTGTCGGACCATCGTGTCCAAACCCCTGCCGGATCAGCATATTAAAACAGCTGCTAATGCGGGCCACCGCGACAAAGAGCTGGGGTGAACATGAGTCGAATTCCCCTGTATTATGCGCAAGAAATAGGGAGCAGAAGGTAGCAGCACAGTAGCAATTGCCGCGGAGAAGCACAACGGTTTCGTAAAACCGCGGTTGTGGGTCGACGCCGTGACCTTGAATGCAATCACTTGTGCATCCACTTGCTTCAACAAGCTTGTGCCTGAATGAGAAACGAAAAGGTCGTGGACTCGGGCCAAAAGAATATTTTTATGAGCGTAAGTTCGAGTTGAAAAGAAATGGAAGGACACTGGCCACCTCATGCCGTGGCGCCGGGCCTCAACGAGGATTTAGTGGTTAACGGCTCTATGGAGTCTCTAGTGAACAGAGCCAATTACTAATATAGGCCAGACACAAAGTCACAATGAGAAAAATCCAAGTAAATCTTGACTCACAGTTCAAAACAGGAGACTCCGTAGTTCCGTATTCCGGTGAACCACCACACCAAGAATAGCTCTATCTTACTGGTATTCCAGATCTCCGGTGATCGAAATATTAATCCACAAGTGTGAATATATTAGTCCAGTGTTTGTAGCTAAAATGTTTGTTCACGTTTATTGTTAGCAGCGGTCAAATATAGCCAACCGGCGGTCACAACAACAGTCACTCAGCAAAAGTCCCAAAGTCACGTTGGAGTCAACAAGCGGACGGTAGCGGTTGTATTTCAGTAAAACAATCTTTTGTACAGCGATGTGACTGATAATGATGGGGAAAAAGATGATAGTGAGCATGAAAAAGAGCAGTTTACAAGCGCTACAGAACCCCCTCTAGATTGTCAAATGGGTGAGCAAGACGCTCGAAAAGGAAATGCGTCACGACATTTAGTCTTTGAAACGAACAGGAAGTTTGCAATGTCGACCAGATCTTGTGAGTGATGGTGTATGTGTGGTATTGGTGGTGTCACTGGTCGAAGGATGGATCGCGTGACTGTGTGGTTGTGTAACGGACGGGGTCGTAGTATCCTCATTATCAGAGGTTGGCCGTGTGTGCATGTAAGCAACTTTCAGTCAATAGCTGCTAACTTTGTCTTTGCGGCCATTACGATCAATGACAAAAGATTTGTCGTCCCGAGAAATTACTCTGAAAGGCCTTTCGTATGGCGGTTGTAAGGGCTTTCTGACCGCATCGACGCGCACAAAAACACAGTCACATGTAGCAAGGTCGGGATGTAACTGGGTAGGCTTATAGGCTTGTCGAGTAGGTGAAGGACGGATATCTCGCATGTGTTGGTAAAGCCGCGAAGCGTAGGAATTTGGGTCCGTTTCACTAGTTGCTGTCGAGTCGACTACCATTTCAACTGGAAGACGTAAGGTAGTGCCGAAGATGAGTTCAGCGGCTGTGCAGCCCAAGTCT